TTCGTCGTTTATGTCACTGTCACATTTATGAATGTCGAGATAAACGAAAATCTGAACATATTCTAAAATATCGACACGATGGGAATCATGATACCAGTGGTGTTATTAATTATTTTGGACAAAATAGAATGATTGATTTTGTGTCAAATCAAGAACATATGCTTAAAGCAATACAAGATTATGCTATACATTTACAACAAACATTATCAATTCCAAAAGAAATTCAGAAATTTATCAAAGGTTTACAACCAGTTCATCGATGCTCAAAAATTATCTTTGAATCTATACTAGTTCATGGTCATGTTATGTCTTCTGAACATATGGAACATTTAGAAAAACCTCGTTTTGCAGCTCAAGCCGCTCAAGAACATAAACATGTACAAAGCATTCTCAATCGTTATAAAACGCCACAAATAGAAGATCACGCTCGAGAATATATTCGAGCACTCATATCTCAAGAATATAGTAGAAAATATACTTCAAATCCAACATTCAGTATAGATACCAGTAGTTCGATGGCTTCAGCGACGCCTAATGACTTTAATGAGACGATACGTAAAGAAGAACGATTTTTAAAAAGTATGATAAAACCAGAAGAAATTACTATAATTCGAAAACGTGCAATTGATATTGCTGAAGCTTCATGGAATCTTCGAGATACTCCAACTGGTATTAAACATGCACCTGACAAAATATTAGGTACTAATAAACATATTTTTAGTATTCTTGGTCCGCATTTTGGATATTATTATGGTGACATATTTCTTGTATTTAAAAATGAAGTAATGCTTCATCCAGATGCAAATTTCTCACCTCAAGCAGCAACAACGTTTCCTAGTGGAAATACATTTTCTTGGCGACCATGGGTGAAAAATCCTGGTTCAGATCAAGCAAAAATCAAATGTTTTCATCAATCGAAACTACATTGTTCTATACCAGGGTATGAATATATCGCAGCAGCTGAACTCATCGCTATAACAGGATCACATAAGAAAACAACGGATGTCAATATAAAAGATATTTTAAAACGTTGGAAAAAAACTGATTCACATCAAGTATTTGAAGCACATTTACCACAATTAATTCCATTGGATTACATCGATGCAGTATATATACCAAAAAATCTATTTAATTCATTAACACAAGCAGCACAAATATCAGCTAAAAAAACTTTTGGTCATTCACTTCATATTACTGATCATGAAGTTAATCTTGGTCTTAATGGTGATGTCGATGTGCGTTCATTGGATAAGAGTCGTTCGAAATATCAAGATTATGTAATCGAAAAACTTATAGAAAAAATTGAAAAACGAATTGAACATCCAACATATTTTTATGGTACAGTAATTACTCTAGCACCAAGTAGATTTTCAGATCATATTCTTGTACCAATTACAATAAATAAAGCATATGATCAATATCGTCATACTCATAAAGGAAATACAAGTGCTGATGATACTTATATTTATTGGAAAGCCATGTATGGTGATATGATGATCACATTATCAAATGAACCGATTAGTTTTGATAGAAATCAACCAAATATTCGTTATCTTGTTTGTTATGTTGCAGAAAGACCATCAACAACAACATCAGCAAATTATAATGAGTCATACTCATATATAAATGCTGGTGAACCATATCGTCATGGTGTTATTGTGACTAATGGTCACTGTTCAAGTAGTTCACGTACATTTTATCGTGGTTGTAATATTGAAGGTTTCCTAACTTATTGTCTTAAAATTGAAAAGAAAACAGGTCAAGTAACACTTTCACATGCTGGATCAAATGGTATTTATTGTTATGAAACAATAACATGTAATTTTCCAAAGGCAACACTTGATTTAAACAAATTAATATATATTCATGTTAGTGCTGGTTTTCAAAAAGTACCAATTCAAAATTTAATTATTAGTTTTGAACAAATTCCTGATTTACATCCATCATTTGATAAAAATTTCAAACCAGAAAATGATGCTGTATCTCGTGACAAAAAGCCTCATAGACGTGATCGTTCACCATCACCAAAATCTGCACAGCCATCTCGTGAAAAATCGCCGTCATTATTTCAGAAAGCAGGGCAAGCTATTAAGAACGCAATCGGTTATGATGGTAACGATAAAAAACTTGAACCATGTTCTCATTCAATAAATTGTTTATCACAAGAATCCCCAAAACATATGAAAGAATTTTCTCATCCTTGTCCATACTCTGAACTTTGCTCGAAAAAAGATAAGGAACCTTATTTAACTCATGAACCACATCGAGTAGAACAATGTTCCTCAAAGAATTCATGTCAAAAATTGAATGATCCTATTCATCGAGCAAAATATCGGCATCATGGTTATCCTGACTTTCTCGTTCCATGTCGGCATGAAAAAAAGTGTCAAGATACAACATTCCATCATAGAATAAAGTATTCACATGGTGAAAATGAAGATATAAAGAAAGATACAAAAGGTATGTTGTCTTTCACCTAACTTAACAATACACTTTTTTTTCTCAGATGTCGTTCCTGATAACTCATCGCCGAAATCTACTTTACCATACCAGGCTGCAGCATCCTCTGATGTAAAAACAGATGATCAACAAACTTCCTGCCGTTATGGATCAGGTTGTCGTCATCAGAATGATTCTCAACATTGTTCAAAATATTCATATCCTTATAGTTCATCTGAAGCAAGGGATCCGTGCACACCTTGTCGTTATGGACGTGATTGCCGTGATAGAAGTAATCGTCAACATTGTTCAAAATACTCACATTCTTATGACCACGGTTCTATATCTTCGGTTAACTTAAATCACGAGCGAACTCCTTGTCGTTATGGACGTGATTGTCGTGATAAATATGATTCTGGACATTGTTCGAAATACTCACATCCACATAATGATGGATCTAACTCTTCAAATATTTCAAGTCATGACCAAACACCTTGTCGTTACGGACGTGATTGTCGAGATAAAAGTGATCC